GCTTCTTTACCAAAAAAAAGTTTCCTCCCTTTCCCGTCCCCCCCCCCCCCCCTCTTCTGTGGAACCGCGTCTAAGAGGTTGGTAGCATAAGTTCAATCGATTGCCATCCTCAACATACTGGAGTTCGTACATCTTGGCTTCTTATTCTCAGATCTCCAAGGCCAGTCCTTCTCTTGCCCAACTGAAACTGCTGGGTGCTTTGGCATACAGTAATCAATTTATGAAAGCTGTTACATTCTCATATACTTCTTAGACTTCTTTTCACTTGTTGATGTGATAGTTTCCGAGATCTTCTGGAGTTCTACAACAAGCCTGATGCAAGGATATCTGCGAATTCAATTCCATTTAGTTTTGTCTCATTCACTCGTTGCTGAGCATTGTTAAAAGATTACTCTTCTGGAGTACTGCCTCGGATCAGTCGAGCTGCAAGTTGCTTAGAATATCAACGAGATCTTGGGTGACTACATGATTGCGTTGAATGTGCAGCCTACGATTCGAAAACGACTCTTTCGGAGATGATAGAGTCTCTGTGCGCGGATAACTTTCAATATTCATTCTTTTCACCGCGACGTTAAGTGAAACTGAATGAATTTGGCAAGATCTAGAAGCATGTTGTTTTGATCCAGCAACCCCTTCCTGAACGAGAAAAAGTACGGTCATGTTTTTCTGAAGTTCTCGATTTCTCGAGCCCTAAGAGCAGTGACGAGGAAGTGGAAGCTCTATACTGATGAACCCTCGAGCGGCAGCAGCAGTTACCTACCATAATCAGAGTAAGGAGGCATCTGTTTCAGCAGCTTGGTCACGTGGCTAGTACGTCTACAATAAACAAGACCGGCAGCATTCGCCATAATGTCGAAAATCCAAGAAAGTCGAAGGCTCTGGTCTGAACAGTTTTTTCCTATCAACCCCCGTTGGTGGAGGGAATGAATCATCCTTTCAGTTTTAAAATCTTACTCTAACATGTGCATACATAATTCTTATATCGACCTCTGATTTTTTTCGATTTATAGCGAATGACCTTTCTGGAAAGAGGCAATGAAGATTTATTTAGCGTACAATATATCATAGATGTTGATGGTTCGTATAAATTTGAGTAAACGTATCACAGAAGAATAAGATAAAACAAACTTGAAAACTCCACTGCAATTAGAAAATCGATTTATCGACTACAGGCCCTACCACAGGTTCCTAAAATACAGCTACTCGAGCACGATAATTTAACACGTAATCAGTGCCTATTCCAGTGTTGATTTGTTATCTTCGGTGCTGGTAGAAAAAAGTTTCCTAGGGTAACGCTTGTCACGCTGACTTGCTTTTAGCCATATTTAATAGATCATGTATTAATCGAAATTTCATTACGACTGTGTACGGAAGTGAAGTGGGCGGCGCATCCATAGGCGGTTAACCAACGTTACATAGTTGTTGCTGTCATCATAGCATAATGTGGATTTGATCGCTCCTCCCCTTGACGATCATTATAAATAAAGCTCCCAGGATCTCATGTGAAACTATCTCAAAGCCACTTTGCGATCCACGTTAAAGTTGACTTCTCAGAGTTCCATCATAGTGCGACCGACGGGGGCCTGTAATCAAGCTTAGTTCTGCAAAATCTCCTTACGTGAGAGGTAAACAGGCACTGCCTAGCAATGCAAACTCAGTCCAATTCTCGGCTTTATTTGATATTTCATGGCAGCATTTCGTATACCGTATGCCAACTTTATATTGTGAACTCATAAAAATCATTGCAGGATTTTTGAGAGTGTCAGATTACTAGACTTCAGGTCATGTCCAGCTCTCTTTCATTTGTCATCATTCTATGCTGTCTGACAGCCACCGTACTTCCGTCACGACTCTGCGGTGTTGTGCTTGTCCACAAACTTGGAAGAATGTGCAAGTGAGTTTTTCTTTCGCATTTTCTCTCAGAAGAGGGTGCACTACATCGCTCCGTGTTAGACCATGAATTACAAACTTGATAAGTCCCTCTGAATACTCTGAAGTGTGGAGTGAAGGAAACCATCAACACGTCAAAAACGCCTCGAATGATTATCGCACTCAGCTGAAAACCTCGTCACAGTCACGCGTTTCGACGCTCGCTACAGTAAACTGTGTGACCTGTCGTTGAATTAATCAGCATATTCCTAGTGAAACTGATGTTTTCCTTCGTCCTTTCGAAAGTGATGACAATATCGTGGAATGTGTCGGCTGGAGGGAACCTCGAACCACATCTCTCCTTTAGTTCAGCGCTTTCATGAACACGTTTGGCGGTCCGGTGTTGATTTTGTGACTTGGGGGACTGCATTCACTGGTCTCACGAATTCGCAGTCGCACAATGTACACGGCTCACCTAGTCTTCGAGTCCTCGATGAGTGGGGTTGCATCCCTGGTTTTCATTCCGTGACACAGCTTGGATCCTGAGTTTCCTTTGTGTGATCGGGGAATTTATAAACTATCTTCATGCTTATTCTGCTAGCATAGATTGCGATTCCTGAACACGCAAACTTAGGCAAGAAGGTCAACACAATGGAAGGAATGAGAGAGGATCCGATGATTTATCCTCAATATTATTGTGAGCCTCCCATGCTGCTAGCATCCTTCCGCTCTTCTGCAAAGCTCGACCTTTCAACATGATTTCCCGATTACCCACATTAAGTTGAGGTATCAGGGAATATCTACATTTCCGCTCCACTAACCAACCGTTTTGCACAAACATCACATTGTGCAGGTTGATCTTTCCACAATTCATAGAGCATTAGTACTGCTTGCTTCACGCCATAAATATTATGACGTGAGGATGGTGAAAAAGGTTCGACTGCTAGCAATCAACCTTCACTGCGTCTTCTTATTCCAGCTGATGAGAGACTACAGAGAGCAACGATAAATAACTCGTCTAATGTATTTATCCATCAGTTCTTCTCTCTCTCATCGAGACGATGAGCTCGTGGTCGTGACGCAGCAAAGTTCAGGTAGCACGTCTACACGGAACATCCGATTCAGAAGATCGCCTTGTTTCAACAAGGGGTTGAAGGAAGTTGTACACTCTGCAGTTTATCCCTTTTGCAACACCTCAGTGAAAGTCGTGTTCGGGTGCGTGAAACGAACGTGTTGAACACTGTCCAGACTGCTTCCCATAACTCTTCGTCCCATGTTCTGCAATCCTGTTAATGACGACCCGAGTGAGATGTGCTAGGCGGAAGAAAGGTCGAGCTATACATAATGATGAGTATTGTCCAATACTTTCCCAATTAGCAGCAAACATCTCAGCGAAGGGTTCTCATAGATTGGATTTTTCATTCCGGTAGGCAAGGTAGTGGATTTTCTTTCCGGTAGGTAATGTAGGAAGATGAGAGCGAAGCCCTTGATGGTACGAGCGAACAACCCTTCGAAGATTCAGGTCCATCCCTGTCAAGGTCGGAGTGGTGCGTTTCTTCACTGCCTAATTAGCATGAATAGACACTTCTTTCGAATAATCCGGTTAAGTTGAGAAGAAATCAATCTTAAATCTCAAGAAATCTCTTGAATCTTCCAATCTTAAAGAAGTTTAGAATGACGCTCTCACATCAGAACGTCATACTAATTATTCTCCAGTGTATTGCTCGGTTTACATCTTCTGATGGTTCGCTTCAGGTTGCCAAGACCCTCCCAAAAAAATCTTCATATTTTCTTCGGGTGTGTGCAGAAAGTTCGTTACCTTCCTCTTTATTATCCTAGATCGCCATGATAAACGCTCATTTTCAAAGTGTCAGAATTTCTCGCTCAGTACTTTCTTCCTGATCGTCGCCCATAGGTTTTGCAGGTCTCTCTTACCACTTGTATGACAGCATTAACCCAGAATAAAGACAATAAAAAAATAGCATTTCCAACTGCATAATCTGTTGCGCAGTCTCGACGTGATGCTCAAAAATTGGTAAATAGATTAATTAGTAAGGCGCTAGCTGTGAAAAACTTCATTCGGTTCGAATTAGAAAGAATCCATCACTGAGTTGTAATGTGCGCTAATTTAAGAATCACAACGGAAGAAAAATGTTCGACACTGAGTTACGATGACGTCGACATCCCACTCATGGGTGAGTTCTTCCTCTATTAACTCAAAAAAAAGGAAAGCAACGTAAGAGCCATCTTCACGAAATGTCGAATGCAGCGCGCGATTTACGGTAGCATACCTAATTTTGAAGGATAAATGATGTAGGAGATTCACGTGGGAAAGTAAACTTAACAAGATGTAAATCTCAAACAAGAATAGCGTTTGTGGCTGCTGCTGGGAAAAGTGCTTACTACTTCCAAGAGGCGGGAGTTTGCGAAAGTGACAATAAGTCACGATGCGGAGACAGCGAACTCACAAATCACTTGTTGACGCTGAAGGCGTTATATGTGAGGCTGTACTTGTCCACACAGGTCAATGTTGTATATACACACCGATACACAAAACGACATGTCAAATACCAAATGAGTTCATGTCAACACTAGATAAAAACATGTCAACAGCATCTGTACATGTCAAGGTGGTCTACATAGTAAAATCTTCCACGAGGCGACTAGTATAAATAGGAAATAAAGGCCTACCAAGCAGAAGAGTCAAAGGCGCTCCATACGAAAAATATCATGAACTGCTACAAAATGACATGGCTAGTGATACGATTCAGGCAATCTTGTCAGGACCAACTTTTACTATCTGGCCGTTCGACTCAAATTCCCACTTCAAGCGGCAGTGGTTGCGCGGCAAATATCATAGCATTCCACTGAGAATTCGAATTTAGCCCTTAACAGCAAGCGACGTATCACGTTCGGATGAAGTGCGGCGGCTCACCCTTTGGGAACAAACACATAACCCTGGATCCAGCAAGACGAATGATGGGATGACTAGTCCGACCCGACTGCTCGGCGGTAGTCATCGTGCTGGTCGCTAGAGCCAGTGGGGTTCATTCTCAATCGGAGCTTATTGAAGTACCCCACGTATGTTGTGCTCGAGAAGGGATTTTTTCGCAAGGAAGCTAATGCGAATTAGAATTTTCGGAGAAAGGCTGTACTAGCAACTCTACAACCCGTCTACAGCACCTCCCCCTCCCCTCCGAATCGCTGGCCACCTAATCCATCTGTTAGTGAAATACCATTAAAAACTGGTCCGTGTGATTCTGGGATTTATAGTAGCACTCCCAACCCATTATTTTCATAAGACCTATTTATATCATGATATATCACGTAGTTTTGAACTTTTGCATCTTTTTTTCTCACCGTTTTCCGTGATTGGCCTTATCAGCGGCATTTACTTGCAATGTATGCTGAAATTTACCAACTTATTACTGTTTCCTAATAATTAAGTCATCCAGTAAACCAATTAAATCTAAAAATCGACGTCATCTGCTGCTATTTTCATCTCACACGTAGAGAAATCGGGACTATTGGGCCCAATATCATAATGAATTTGAGGCATGGCGATCCCAAGTACATGTACTTCGAGGGAAATCAAAAAAACTTATTTGAATTTCACAGATACGAGGGAATTTTGAAGTGGGTGCTAAAATTGTTTTAAACTTGCTCACTTTCAAGGTTCCTCTACAACTTTTTCAACTGACGATTTTACTGCATCTAAGTGGAATATGAGTGGTTAGATACCGCCTCTACCCGAATGGGACATACCTATGTATATGGTAAACATGACTTCTCGAAATCTCATGGATATATGTTCCTTGTACAGAACGCATCATTATATCAGTCGCCGGAGTACTTGTTTACGATAGCCTGTTCAGGTATATCAACTGTGTGATTCAATATTTCGATGACCAGTTTCAGAGAACGAGCTTTCTCTTTTTTTACGTGAGAACCCAATCACATGAGTAATTCGGCAACCCCAAAAATTCACTGACGAATTCGCTCGTATTCATGTAATCGTTACGTGGGCAATCCGGACTTCAGGTCTTGTGCCCCGCAAAAAAANAAAAAAACCCATTCAGTGTAATGTAACCAGTTAGGCCCGGCAGAAAAACTTGTTTTGAAGTTGTACTGTACTTAATACCCATTGTTGGAGTTGTACTGTACTTGATACCCAACAGACAAACCCAGAAAGCAATTAGTTTGGTTTTTTTATCCCAAACAGATTAACTATCGGGTATATTGAAGTCTTTTGTCAGTTACAAGGAAAACTTGTAAATGTAAACTAGACTCCGAACTGAAGCTGAGGACATGAAATCTCCGTTTGGGCAATTTTGATTGTTTTCCTGAAGCGAGATTCTCTGTGTGTTCATGATTTTCTATGCAAGATCATTTGGAGGGGCGTGATAGATTGTTTGGGAGGTAGCATCAAATTGGTCGCGGAAGGACGAATATTTGATGAAAATTAGTGAGCATTCATTAAAAGGTTGTTTTCGATGCGGCCATTTCTTTCTATGCAAACAATGAACAATAAATGGGAATAAGCAGGAATGTCTATGGGGGGGGGGGGACACAAGGAGCCAAGTTCACCAAAACCACACTCTGACTCATAGCGTTATTGGGATCAATCAAAAAAGATTCATGAAAAGATTTTCAAGAGTGGAAAAAAAGAATAGCAACAACAAACAACAAAGAATAGCAACAATATGTAAATTGGACTGAGGCAACCGCAGTGGAAAGCATCGAGATCAGCATTGATGGCAACCTTTTCCAAATTCTTTTACAGAAGAGCGAAAAAGGTTCTTTTCGAAAGTCCTGAGAATGGGTCAAATGGACACATATTACAATCGAAGGGCGGATATCGCAGGGTGGGGCTCCTGTGGTTTTAAAGTGATGCCGAGATTGTGAAAGAGTGACTTTTCGACGCCAGAAATTTTTTTACTTGTTTATCTTCATCCACCACGTGACCTAAAACCTCGTCCGTGGAACTTCAACTGTCACGCCTCAATAACAAGAATTCGTTAAACAACCTTTAGCGCGTAACTGGTTGGAATGACTCATTTTGAATGATTTTCGACATTCTATTTGATGCAAATGTACTGAGCGCACACATCAGTGATCGCCTTCGTCCACGCACTTCGTCGTCTTTCTAGAGATCATTGCGTAGTGGAAGCTTGAGCTCTTTGATTTCTGTACGCAAAACCTGCTACTATTTCCTCTGAAGGGAGAAGGGAAGTGACAAGTTTTTTTGTTCGTTTCAATTCAGCCTGTACTAAAGTACTACGTATAGCCTGAGTTTATTGTAATTTGAATTGAATATCCATCTGTGTAATAAGCCCTTTGGTCGAAAGAAAAGTCACGGGGACATAGAACTAATTGAAGGTGACGGGAACAAATCAACTCTCATCAAACAACAGCGAATTATGGTGCCAGGATCCTATCCACGCATCATTACCACACATGCATAGGCTAAATACTGAATTCGGGATCGATATCCGCTCTGGGCAACCAAGCCACAAAACAATTCATTATGTGGCCACACACGATCCACAATGACACTACGATTCAGAATGGGAGTCGAATGCGAGGTGCATTCCAGAAACGGAGTTGGACAGGGTGGTGCAGTAGTAAATGCACACTGTCACATATGCATGGTCACGGGTTCGAATCCGGGATATCCGCCTAGGCCAACCAAGCCTTCCATGCCAACGAGTAGGTCAACTGGTACATGATCCGTTTAGTAGGATAAAAGCACTGGCTTGTCCATCGGCCGGCCACCGCAAGTCATTGATAGGCTACATATGCATACAAAATGCTTTTATGTCCCTGAATGGGAGTTGAATGTGGCGGCCCATCTCTCAGAGTAGATTGATTAACGCCCAAAGGATTTCTCCCTATTTTTCTATTAATGTCAAACAACCGTTGAGCTGAGCTCAGCATACAAATATTTTATGAAGATTACTCCAATGCACCTCTTCATGGGCCTTTGAAACATCAATGGCATTTCTGCGCTATCATTGTCGACATCTATTACCGTACTCTGCACCTTTCTGCACATTACGTCGCCTAGCGTGTAATCATATGACAGATGACAGGCCTACGACTGGTCCGCAAACATAAATGGCGTCATTAACCTTCGTGAAGAAAGTAGAACTACTGTCTGAATGTTTGCTTAAGAAGTGGAGAACATTAATGTATAACTCTTACGCGGAACATCCGACTTCAGGGGGACTTGGCTCCGAAGCCGACGTTGCAGGACCTCTTACTTCAGAGTTGAGGTCAAAGCTCTTGTCAGCTCTTTCTGGGTATCCTTCCGCTCATGCGGCACCCATTCTGAATGAGGAAGGCGTTGAATGATCGTTGCGATGGCCTCAATGGCCGTTTATGCATCAACCAAAATCCAGTGAGTCCTTCTATGTACACATTCAGCAGAAGATATTACGGTCTAATCACCATAGTAGAAGATTTCGGTTGCTTTGAGCGTGTGGCTGCCCAAACTCGGTTTTCTGACCACGTGTAATATAGCGGTGCCACTTGGCACTAACTCACCACAGTTCACGTGCCGCTCATGGCATCCGTCATTCCACACAAGGTTTCCAACGGGATAGTTTGTGGTGTTCGGGGACTCCGTTGATAAAAAGCCGCCTATATCGAGTTTCGAAATATCTCGCCCCTCCCTCTCTCTTGCACTTTTGAGAAAAGTTGGAAAGGGAGGGAGCCGGCGGTACCGTAATTGATTAGGAGCAAACACACCCATCAAACACATCAGCTCACAAAGCAAAAGATTGCATGGACCACAAATACAAACTCGAACACTTAGGCCCTTCCCAAAGCCAATAATAGTCGACTACATTCTCTGAGCTCCGATGATATTTTGTTTTATGGTAGCACAACTCATCACTTGAGATCCAAAAATGGGCTTCTTTGACTGAAGTTGTAGTTACAGCCGTAACATAGGGGGAGACGGGCAGTAGGAACGGTTTTGTGTAAACGATTTGCCGCATGCGGCTGACGCGGACTTCGCTTTGCCGTTCCGCCGTAGCTCTCTCGTTTTTTGTACAGCTCAATCGATATGCGATCACTAGCATGATTCTAGTGTTAGTTTCTTTGTTCCTTTATTTCTTACTTGCTGCTGCATTCTGCTACATTCCTTCGCGCGCGGCTTCCCTTTCGCCACGACGCGACAATTTCGTTCCTACTGCAACACACCCGTAACGT